ATTTATAAGTCAAAAATCAATTTATGTTCACAATTATAAGTTATAAACTGTTAAGGTATAAGTTGTAATCACTTTCCCACAACTCTACCAAATGGGATCATTATTTATTTATATATTTTTGTGACTTTAATTATATATTTTTTTTAAGAACTTACGACATATTTTATGGGTTAACTTATTGAAATTTGTGTTATATTATGCAATTTTGTGAAGCGACTTATATATATTTGTGAAAACTCATATCAAGTTATGATTTTTTAAATTTTTATAAATTAAATTATGTAAATTTATATTTAAGTTACATAATTTTATAAAATAACTTATATATTTTTATAAGAATTTACACATGTTACATATGATGGGTGATCCTTACATATGGTGTGCAACTTTGCCAAACATTTCCCTATGTACAATACTTTAGACCATTTCCAACGGTTCATCAAACCTGGTATCAAATTCAAAATTTGATGAAAAAGTCACTTTTTTGAGTTCTAACGGTTTCACCAAATCGATATCAAATCGAGAATTCAGCAAATCTTTTACCAAAATGAGAACAGGCGAAGCATTTTACCAAATCACTGTTCCTAACCGTTGGGAGAGACCAACCGGTCAACCAGTCGATTGCCCGGCCGGTTGACCAACCGGTCGACCGACTAAAGGTTCAAACGGTTCGAAGAAAAGGTTCAAACAGTAAAAAAAAATTTTTTTTGCCTAACCGGTCGACCAGCTAGTCGACCACTGAAAGGTTCAAAAAGTTCAAAAAAAAACAGTAAAAAAAAAAAAAAAAAATTTTGCCTAACCGGTCGACCAGCCAGTCGACCACTAAAAGGTTCAAAAAGTTCAAAAAAATAAAAAAAAAATTTCGCTTAACCGGTCAACCGGCTGATCGACCAACCGGTTGTCCCCCGCACAAATTTGATGAAAGTGCACCGTTAGAGCGAGTGGTATCAAATTTGGTAAAATGGATCATTTTTTACTCAAATTTGGTGAAAAATCTGATTCACCGTTGGAGATGCTCTTACAAGTTCAATGTCAAACATGTAACGCATTACCAAAACAATTATTTTATTGCTCACTCGCGGGCGTTTTGGTAAGCTAGTAAAAAATATATATTTTTTTTATTTTTTTAATTTTTTCAGGTCATATTATTTTTTTAATTTTTTTTATATAAAAAATCAAAAAATTAATTTTTTACCAATTTTTCAAAACACCACTAATTTTAAATCAAATAAAATTTGTGTGGTTTGTGGGAAAAATAACTTATACATGTTTTGTTTGTGAATAAGTTAATTTAGTTGATTTTTTAATTTTTTAGTTATTTTAATTTAGTTTAAAAAGTAATGTTGAGATGATAGTTTTTTTTAATAAAGGTGATATCCAAAATTGTAACAACTATAGAAGAATTAAGTTAATGTGTCATATAATGAAAGTGTGGGAGAGGGTGATGGAACGCCGATTGCGAGACATAACAGAGGTGTCAGAGAATCAATTTGGGTTTATGCCTGGTAGGTCAACAATGGAAGCGATATATCTTTTGAGGAGAGTAATAGAAAAGTATAAAGAAAAGAAAAGAGACATTCATATGGTGTTTATCGACCTTGAGAAAGCATATAATAGAGTGCCCTAAGATATAATATGGTAGGCGTTAGAGAAGAAAGGGGTGACAAAAGGCTACATTGACGTGATTAGGGACGTGTGTTAGGTAGCCGACAGCCAACACGTAAAAAAAGCCGCTCGGATCCCTTATGAAAATGAA